GAGTAGTGCGCTAGCCCAGCGTACGTAAAACAAAACGAAGTCTCGAGCGGGAACGCTGGTTTTGTTGGGACGCCGGCTTTCGGCGGCGAGGAGGATTCGCCTTGAGTGAGACAGGAGGAAGCATCGAGCGGGAGCCGTGGTTTTGTCGGGACGGGGGTTGTCGGCGGCGAGGAACAGCAACGTCCCGAAGAAAAAGAGAGGACATCTCGAGCAGGGCTGCTATTGTTGCTGGGAGCGGCGCCAATGCTGAAGAGAGTAGGGCGCTAGTCAATAATACGTAAAACAAAACGAAGTCTCGAGCGGGAACGCTGGGTTTGTTGAGACGGCGGCTTTCGGCGGCGGGGAGGAACACCGCCTTGAGTGAGAAAGGAGGAAGCATCGAGCGGGAGCCGTGGTTTTGTCGGGACGGGGGTTGTCGGCAGCGAGCAAGAGCACCGTCCCGAGGAAAAAAGAGAGGACATCTCGAGCGGGAGCGTTATTCTTGCTGGGAGCGGCGCCAATTCAAAAGAGAGTAGGGCACCAGTCCAGCGTAAAACGGAAGTCTCGGGCGGGAGCGCTGGTTTTGTCGGGGCGGCTGTTTTCGGCGGCGAGGAGGAACACCGCCTTGAGTTAGAAGGGAGGAAGCATTGAGCGGGAGCCGTGGTTTTGTCGGGATGGGGGTTGTCGGCGGCGAGGAACAGCACTGCGTCTTCAGGAAAAAGGGAGGAAGCCTCGAGCGGGAGCGTTGTTCTTGCTGGGAGCGGCGCCAATTCAAAAGAGAGTTGGGCGCCAGCCCAGCGTAAAACGGAAAGAAGTCTCGGGCGGGAGCGCTGGTTTTGTCGCGGCGGCGGTTTTCGGCGGCGAGGAGGACCACCGCCTTGAGTAAAAAAAGGGGGGAATTCTCGAGCGGGAGCGTTGTTGTTGCTGGGGGCGGCGCCGTTGAGAGAAAGACTAGCGCGCCAGTCCAAGGTAAAACGGGAGGAAGTCTCGGGCGGGAGCGCTGGTTTTGTTTGGACGGCTGCTTTCGGCGGCGAGCAAGAGCACCGGCCTTGAACAAAAAAGGAGGAAGTCTCGAGAGGGAGCGTTGTTGTTGGGCCGGTTTTGGAGGTCCCCCAAACCGCCCGAGCGTGAGCCTCATTTTCAATGAAAATGTAGCCGGCGCCTCGGCGAGAGCGCCAAAGCGCCTTTAAGGGGTCCAACAATAGTAATTGTTCAGTACAAGCAGAATCCTCCCCGCGGATCCCCATTTCAGCCACGCACCCGGGAACAAAGAATGAGCGTTCGGCCCCCTCATCCTGATCTGCTTTAGGTCGACGGTGTCTAGTGGCAGCCTGCACCTTCCCTCCCCACGGCAGCATTGCTTCCCTTCCACCACGAAGCTTTATCGAGAGATGTACTTGTACGTCAGACCGTCCGCACTGCATTGAGCGTCCATGCGGCGGAGTGGGCTTCCTCGGCCTGGCTTCGAGCCTCACATACGGCCACGAGAGGGACTAGTGTGTGTGTGTGTGTGTGTGTGCCACACGGGGAGCACTTCAGGAGTCCTCCCATGAGGTGGAGCAGCGGGCGCCTGGATCTGTAGACATCGTGCCAGCCACGGGTGAGGGTGGACGCTGCCGATCCGAGGGCGACGTTAATGATAGCAGGTGCAGCGGGCGCACCTTGACGACCTGGCACGTCGTGCGGGAGGAGATCCCGTTCGAGGACCCGCTGCAGCTGGGCCCGGCCCCTTCTCCCTCCCCCGTGCCTTTGTGCTGTCCCCCCTTCCCTCCTCCCTCGCCTCCCTCGTCGGCTGGCCCCTCATCGCTTCTCCTCTTGCCCTTTGGTGGTGCGTGGTGCCTCCTCTCTTACCCTGGGCTCCCCGTCCTCCGTCGGTCGGCCTCTTGCCCCTCGCGCCCGTCCGCCTGCCTCCTGCGGCTGGTTGCTGTGGCTCCTCGCTCTTCGCTTCCCCCCGCCGCCTTGCTCGGCCCCCCTTGCCCTTGTCTTGCTGGCCCGTTGCCGACCCGTTCGGCCGGCTTGCGGGCCTGACGCCCTTTCGCTGCTTTGCCGGCGCGCGCCCGCGCTAGCCAGCGGAACCATCGGACGCCCAGCGGCGTGGTCCAGATTGTGACGCTCAAAGTGTTTTTGTTTTGTTTGTAGTGTGTGTGTGTGTGTGTATGTGTGTGTTTTTGTGTGCTTGATTGATCTTCGCACTGGTGTTCGGCTGGCCGTGCGCCGGCGCGCAGCCGGGACCACCTCTTGCGTGCGCCCCCTGCTGCCAGCAGGTTCCTGCTCGGCCTGCACGTGCGCGCTTTCCCTCCGCTGGTCGCGTCGGTGGCCCCCCCCTGCACGCGCTCGCGCTGCGGCGCTTCTCCTGCGCGCGGCTTGCCCTGTGCCGTCCTCCCACCTGCAGCGCCAGGTGGCCTTGAACTGAGCGTGCCCTGCTTTGATGCTCGCGACGGTGCCGCCACTCCGCCGCTGAAGGGAAAAGTCTGTGTGCCCGGCAGTGCAGGCTGTTGGCCACCTGTCGGGGGGCAAGCGGTGCGCCCGCCTCAGCCGGCTGCCTCGCCAAGTGCGCTTGCCGACGCACTTGCTGCCGCTGCTCTTCTGCGCTCGCTCTTGGGTGTCCCCGTCCCCGGTGACCGGGGCAGGCTTGGCTGCCGCCGAAAGGGTTCATCATGTGCTTTCTGATTTGTCCATGTCGCACGTCACTTGTCAAACAAGCCTTGGCGAACAGGTACCGCCATGTGATGCACTTAAACTTGAAGGGAGCGGTGGGTTACCAGAGAGCACAACATATACATATATGCCCTATTCCGAAAACCCTGTACTGTACCCAAAACACCAAAAACGTTTTCATCTCTCGGGGACACATTTTTTACTTCCGCCGACCTTCCGCCGCGGAAGAGATGACAACTCCTTCGATCTTCGAAAGCAAGGCCGTCTTTGGAACGCCCCATATATACAATGTACACAGGGATATAGAGAGAGGGAGGGAGGGAGGGAGGGAGCGAGGGAGGGAGGGAGGGGTAGAGAGAGAGAGAGGGATTCGTAGAGAGGAATCTGCGTTGACACACAAGCACCACCAGGCGAAGCACTTTGCCTTTGAAAGGGCGGGAGGGGCAAAAGGTGACGAGCACAGGCGCACATGCGCGCAAAGCACCGCCAGGTGACGCACTTGAGGGGGCAGGCTGCCCGAATACGTGGCGTCCTCACCCAATGGTGGGCCAGCGCACCCTCCGCGGCGCGGCGTCTGCCTGAGTGGCCTCGGCGTTTGTCTTGTGCCGCTGTCCCTTCTCCTCGGGCCTACACCCTCTTCTCCCATGCTCCTTGGGCCTTGGCGATTCTCCAGGTCAAGCGCCAGGAGGTCCACGGTTGCAGCAACCGGATTGTCGCCTAGCCGGCGCGGTCGCCGCAATCCGTTTCTCGGGTCCGCTTTCCCCTCTCCTCTGTCGCCTTTTGGCTGGCTGGGTTGGCGACGCCCACTTCTCCTTGCCGCGCCGAAGGCGCACCCCGCCTCGGCACGTTATTGGCTTTTTCTGCGCGTCTCTGCTGGTCGGCCCTCCCCCTTTGGGGATCTAGCTGCACCTGCCGGCGCTGCCCGCGCGTAGTCGTCCTGGTGCACTCTTGCGCTGCCCGCTTGTACTCGTCCTCCCCGCAGTGGCCGACGTGCTCGTCCGCGGCCTCGAAGCAGTCCGCCCTGCACACAGGCTGGTTAGGGTCTCCCCGTCCGTTGTCGGACTTCTCTCGGTTTTTCATCCACAGCGTCGTGTCTTGGCATCGATTCGATCCGACGTGTGCACTTTTCTCTCGGCAGGGGCCATCGAGGAGTACCCTGGATCATCTTTCGGAAATGAGCGCGCGACGCCGACAGAAGGCACGGGGAATGGACGCCCGACCGATGGCAAGGTGTGCAAGTCGTGAGGTCTCGTTCCGTGCGCACTTTGCTCGCGACCGGTGCCGCTTCGCCAGCGGAAGCACGAGTGTGAGCTCAGGGGCTCTCGATGAATCCTCCTGCGAGTCTCACTGCCCACGGGCTGGGGCTGCCGCGCCTGTGCCTCTCCCAGTTGGCGCTCCGCCTCGCCCTCCCGCCGCGAGAAGGAGGAGGAGCAGGAGGAGGAGGAGGAGGAGGAGAAATTGGAGGAGCAGGAGGAGGAGGAGCAGGAGCAGGAGGAGGAGGAGGAGCAGGAGGAGCAGGAGGAGGAGGAGGAGGAGCCCGCCGCGCTCGGCCGCCCCCGCCCGCCCCCGCGCCTCTCCTGCGCTCGCGCCCCCGCCCCTCCACCGCCGGCTTCCGCCCCGCGCCCTCGCCCTCTCCGCCCGACGCTCCTCCCTCCGGCGCTCGCGGCCTCGCTGCCTCGCCGCCTCGCCGCCTCGCCGCCCGCCCCGGCCGCCCCGGCCGCGCTCCCGCGCACGCCTCGCTCTGGCGCGGGCCCGCTCGCGCTCCGCTCCGCTGCCCCGCGCTCGCGCTCGCCCGGCGCCTGCCCCGCTGCCCCGCCCGCGCTCGCCCAGCGCCCTCCCCGCCGCCGCCCGCTGCCTTCCCCGCCTGCCGTCAAGTCGGGCCTGTCCCTCTACAGGAGGAGTAGCCCAAAATAGTAAAAACACAGTCTGGGGACGATCTTTCGAGGATTCGTTTTTTGGTATTTTTTTGTTATTTTTGGTGCAGTCTTTCTTTCTCGCCCAAAATCCGCCTGTAGGGGGACATGCCCGACCTAAGCCGGCCGCCGCCTGCGCCTGCCCCGTGAGGGGCTGGCCCTTTCCTTGCGTTCCTGTTCCGGTGCGCGCGCGGGGGCGACTTTTGGGATGGCGTGGCGCTGCGCCCGCCCTGCCCTGCTCTGGCGTTCGCAGCGGTGCCACCACCTCGGCGCTAGAGGACGTACTGCTTGTGAACGTGTGTCAGTGTGCGCCAGTGTGTTTGTGTGTGTGCGTGTGTGTTTGTGTGTATATATATACATATATATATATATATATATATATATATATATATGTCTCCGTGTCCGTCGTTTTGCTTGCTGGCGCAGGTATGAGTGATGATTGTGCATGGCGGTTGTGTGTATGTTCTTATGTCATGCTCCAGTCACGCATGTACGCACGCACGCAGAGTTGGCAAGCAAACTCGCTCGCCTGGGGCCGACTCGTGGTACTTGTACAGAAGCGCCTTTGAGCTCTGGATCGCCGTTCGCAGAGTTTCACCACATACCAAACCACTCCATCCCAACCCGATGGCCTCAATTTGCTTTCTTTTTCCAGTGGGGGGGGGTCGGGGAGCATTGAAAAAACACATGGCACCTGTACCCCCCAACCCGAAGCTCGGGTCAAATTCGGGTCTCCGGGTTGGGTTGGGGTGGTCTGGTAGGTAGTTAGAGCTGGAACGTGAGTTCCGACCAGGTCAGGTGAGCCACGTGAAACAGCGGGGGCGTCTTCGCCGACACTGGCGCGCAAGCTGCCTGCGTGCGCGCCCTCGTCTCCGCTGTGGCGCGCCGCGCGGGCGGCCCGCTCCAGCCGCCGCGCAGGGTCGCTGTGCTGTGTCGCGCAAGATCCGCTTCTGATCGACGCTCGGGTGACGATTTTGAACGTCTGGCGGGCTTTTGATCGTCGCTCATGTGAGGATTTTGAGCGCATGGGACGATGCTGCAAGAGATCCCGACCGCAGACTTTCGCCGGTCCCCCCGGACTTCTCGGCTCCGCGCTGGCCCCTCCCCCTGGCGGCGCCTCTGGCGCAGACCCACGGCGTGCCGCCCGCTGCCGCGCTCCACGCGCCAGGGGAGACGGGCGCGGGGCGGACTCGGGAACTCCTCGCAGACCTCCGAGAGCTTGGTGCTCATGCTGTTTTTTCTTTTTGCCACTCGAGTCCTGAGCCCCGCCTCCTCCTCTTCGTGACGGGCCGTGCTGCGCGCGGCCGCGCATAGGTCTGTGCCTCGGGTGCCAATCCATGCTTGCTAGCATCTCTAGTTCTTTGTTTTTTCTCTTTGACCAACCTGCAGCTCAGGCGAAGCGTCGGGATTGACAGAGCCAACTCGCGTGGGAGGAGGGTCGTTGATGACGGTGATGTGGATGGTGATGGTGACGGTGATGGCGATGGTGATGGTGATGGTGATGGTGATGATGATGATGATGATGATGATGATGATGATGATGATGATGATGATGGTGATGGTGATGATGATGGTGATGATGATGATGCTGATGATGATGAAGAGGAGGATGATGATGGGCACCCCCCGAGTCCCAAGGGATGTCTTGAGTTGCCAACGCTCACCGTGCATATCTTCCGTGCCCGCCAGGTGATGGCTGGTGTCTCGTGGCGAACTCTGGGCGTCCCTCCACCTTTTGCATGAGGCTCTTCACGGGGCAGCCTGCAACCCCATATCCTTGATCCGCTCGGGGCGTGGGGAGCAGGTGGGCGAGGACATGAGACACTTGAGCTCCGCAGGTCTGTGTGGAACTCGTATCCGTCAGCCTCTGCAGCGCAGCAGGCACATTGCACAAGATGCAAGTCATTGGGCCATTCAGGGGAGACGTTGACCTGGCACGGGGTTCAACATCTCAGCAGGGGTGGCAGTTATGTTCAACACAGAATTCTTGAAGATTGGGTTCGCCAGGTTCATGCCCAGGGAGAAGTGGACCAGTAAAAATCACGCACTCGCAGCTTGATATCACTTCCGTGGTCTTTTATTGCCCGCCACATCCTCAGGGGGATACGGCAATGAAGCGGCGGAGGCAGACGATGCGCACTCTGGCAGAATTGTTCAACCAAACATTATTGGAAATCCCTGCGCGCACTGTCCCGGTGGTGACGATGGGTCTAAATCGCAATTTTTCGTGATAAGGTGACGAACTCACCCCCGAAGGCGAAGCATAAGCCATCCTGGGGGAAGTATTGAGCAACTCTTCCCCCACTGCAAACAAGCGCTCCGAGCACGTTCCCACGTTCTATGGCACGAAGAGCAGTTCGCGGAACGAGCACATCTGCATGCCAGCCACAGCAGGAACCGAATTGCAGGACGGTCAAGTTTGGCGTCGCGTGGGTAGGCGACTCCAACTCATACCTGCCCCAGTTCCGAGAGATCTGATCCCGTTGGTTCTGAAGTTTCACTCGGACTTCTTTGTGCTGAAGCCGCGTCCCCGAGCTTGCGCTAGACACCAAGACCCGATAGCAAAGCGTGTCCAAACAGGGGCCTGGAGAGATGTGCTTCTTCGGAAGGTTCAGGATGCGCTCGAGGCTCATCTGGGGGAGCCTGGGAGACTCCAGGGGGCAGCGATGGTGAATCCCCGCTGGAAGCACTTTTTCGCGATCGTGGTTCTCATTGCCCATCCGCTTCTTCGGGCAGGGCCCGCCCAGCAGAAAGGATGCTCCTGAAAAATGCGACGGCGCCAGCTACCAGCATAACGTCGCGTGGGAAATCCGCAGGGAAATGCCCTCCCCCAGAAGAGTATATGGGAGAAACCACTGAGATGAAGCAGCTGAGCAAGCAGATCGGACAATGACCACGAGCATCATGCAGATCATGGAAGCAGCGAGCTAGCCAGGGGGTGATCGACGCGTGCGAGCAGAAATACCATGCGCTGGTGGCCCGATCATATGGGCAACTTGCAGGCGCCCAGATGATGGCCAGCAGATGTTTTTGCACGGCGATCAAATCGTGTGCGCGCCACTTGTGCACAGTGGATCGAGGCATTGCAGGTGCCCGGGCCAGAAGGGGGGATCTCGGGCAGGCCTGTCAGCTTCGAGGCGGCTCAGATATATAGCACCGCTTTTGCCATTTTCCATCCACAGAATGATGCTGAAGAGTATGCGCTCTTCGATTTGAAGCGTGCCCCTCGGGAGCTACCGACGCGAGAGGCGAGGATGGGTCTGGGCTTTCAGCCGAAAGTAGGGACGGGGCGGGGGAGGAGGAGGAGGAGGAGGAGGATGAGGAGGAGGAGGGGGAGGAGGAGGAGAAGGGGGGGGGGAAGATGAGGATATCAGCATCAGCGCGCAGCACATATTATTTACCATATACCGGCGCATGTGCGGCGAGTTGGGGGAGGGCCAGTAATCCGACGCAGGTCGTATGCATGGCATCTAGATAAGCAGAGTGGTGTGCCCAAGATTCGATGGATTAGGTTGATGCGCGGTTTTTGTCCTTTCTGGTTGCGCTCGATTCCCATATTTAACATGGTCGGTACGAAGGCGTGGTCTTGCGTCTTGCTTTTTAGGTTGCGCCCTGCGACGCGACCTGCGCATTTCCTGGCGCGGCGCGACCGCGCAGCGTTTAGGGTGCCAAACGTTCGACTTCGCCACCGCAGACGCGCGCGTATGATCTCGCATATTGACGCGCTTGATGGGCGGTGGGCCTACGCGCGCGGGAGGGGGGATTCAGGGGGGCGGCAGTGCGCCAGACGGGCTTGTAGACGCGCGTCGAATGTCTTTAGATCGGTGACGCCCAGAAGTGCAGGACGGCAGCAACCATGCGATGATCCTACATCCTGGATTCGAGAAAGGTGCGATGCGTCGACCAGGGCCTTCTTGGATGGTAGTTTGCAGTTTCACGCGCGCGCGCCCTACTGCTGCAGCATGCGCTGTCCAGCTTCGTTTGGGCTGTGGTGCTGTGGGCGAGGCGCTCGCGCCCAGCGGCTTCTCGCAGAACAGAGGCGAACGGGTGGTCGCTCCATGTCCTAGATCTGCGCGGCAGAACAACTTCGGCTTAAGCAAGCTGGAATCGGGCGAACCCTTCGCGAGGTGAAGTACTTGGGGGCCATCTTCGATCCGACGGGGTCCATCGCGTCCGAGTGGGGGGCCTGGGTGAAAGATTGAAGGATGCATTGGGCGCAGCCTTATGGCGTTTGGTTTGCCCATGTTCCGACGGCGGTGCAACGGGATGCGATGTCTCGAAGGTCCAGGGGGCAGCCTTGCCCGGGGTGGCATCGCTGGATCTCCAGGGCGCGGGTTGTAGAGCACTGGACATGCGTGTCCCGAGGCACTGGGGGGCGCTGATGCAGGGGGGGGGCGCGGGCGCGCGCGCGATCGCGAACGTGGACGCATGGCAATTTGTGAGGACACGCCCAGCAGCTCTTGAGCTTGGGGCTCGTCGTCTGCGCTTGCTCCAGGCGGCGACCAAGTATCCGATTGTGCGCGAGCTCCCTGTCTCTGCTCTGTTCGGTGATTGCAGTGCGAAGTGGCCCGAGGGCGTGCCGCAATCCCCACTCATGGCGGCCGCGTTCATTGCCCCGCCGACCAATGGGCGCATACTTTCGAGGGCGACGTGTGCAGTCTTTTGAATTTCTCGGGATGCGAGACCTTTGGGGGCATCTGGAGCAGAAGTGTGCTCTCGCTGTTTGGGGGCCGCGGCGCGGGAGAAGCCTCGCGTGAGATCGGCCCCCGAGCCCCCTGGGCAGATTTCTGGTGTAGCGATCGCCCCACCTCAGTGCGATGCAACTGGCTTGGGACCTGTTCCTGATGATGGCTCTGCGTTTGGCCACATATATGAACGCGATTTGCTCTTGGAACCTGGATGCAGATGCGATGCGCGTGTCGCTGCGCGAAAGATCTTTCGCGCCCAGCATGTGATATCGCCATCGCGCTCGCCTCGCCTCGCCATCGCAACGAACCCGTGCCCAATGTGCATTTCGACCTTCAAGTTGGGCGCGTGTGCAACGCGGCATTTACGTTGCGATATGGTACATCATCGTTGTCTGGCAGCTCGGTATTCAGTGGAAGTCCTCGCGCGGTGGCCAGCTCATCCTGCGCGCCCGTTCTGTCGCGTAAGTTCTGCGCCGCGTCTGGTTCCATTCCAGCGGCGTGCCTGCCGACGCTTGCCGATGTCGATCGCTCGCGACGCTGGGTTGTGCCATGGGCAGAATGTAGGAGTCGGCGCCTCCCGCGGCGGCGCAGGAATGGGCGGCGAAGGAACGACGTCGCGGCGGCCCATGGGGCGCCGCCACCTCGGCCCCCCTGGGTGGGCGCCGCCGCCGTCCAGGGCCCGGCGGCGAATGAGGTTCTGGCGTTGGCGACGAAGCAGGCGGCAAGACGCGCGCGAGACACGCGCGATATCTAGCCGGAGGTCATGGACACGTTCAGGCGCAGGAAGCCCGGGCCGTTCATCATTAATTTGGAGGCGTGGCATGAGACGTGCGAGGACGTCGCTGAGGTCCAAGAGATGACCGCCCCACCTGCACGTCGCAGGGCGCGGCGCGCGCAATGGTAGGCGCGCTGAAGGGCGCCGGCATTGGCGGGCAGACGAAAAAGCCTGGATCAAACTGCGCGACAGACTGCAGCGCAATAGCATCGAGGAGGTGGAGGGGGAGTTTCAGGTGGGGGCGACCGAGAATGCGCTCGACAGCGACATGTGCAAGCTCAACAGAATCATGCGTTGGAGTCCACGCGGGCAGTTGCTGGCCCAGTGCGCGGAGCAGCTTCAGATCCTACATTCGCATGCGCCCGCGCCTCCAGGGTACATGGGGCGTCAGCTGTCGACTTGGACCCAGGAGCTGCGGGGGTGAGGTCCCGAGCGTTTCTTCCGGTTGCAGGGGTGGTCTCAGTGGTTGAGCTGACTGAGCAGCAAGCGAGGCGCATGAGACATCATGATTATAAGTGGGGCCTCAGTGTGCAGTCGTTGAATGGCGCGGGGGAGCGCGTGCTCGAAGATCCGAGCTCGTCCGTGACTGGTGTTGTTTCTGACGCGCGTGGGGATTTAGGGCAAGGTGCTGGCCTCCCGGGAGGCCCAGCTCGCAAAATAATCCAGGCGTCTCCCTCAGACTGCCCCATGCTCCGAGATCCGATCCTCGAGCCTTTGGCCCTGCTTTGAGCCCGTCCTTCAATCTGTGCTTGTATGGCTAATTTAATCGCTTCACTCATTCCGCTGGCCCTGGGGCCTTCTTTAGGGCCTCTTGGGGGCCTCGTGGGGGCCTCTTGGGAGTCTCTCGGGGCTCCTTGGCGGCGTCTTGGGAGCCCCCAGGGCCTCTTGGGGGGCCCTTGTGGGCCTTGGGGCGGGAGGGGGGCAGTCGATTGCGGCTCCCCCCTCGGGGGCCGCGATCTTCGTGAGGGGCGTCGAAAA